ACTCTTCAGAGAAATTTGGTTGTGAGAAGGGGCATAGAGATATGGCAATGGCTGCACATGACATGGAGTTAAAAAACCAGTTACTGTTGACTTGATTCTAACTCATGGTGACCTCATGTGTGTCAGAGTAGAACTGTGCTCCATAGAGTTTTCAATGATAGATTTTTTGGCAGTAGATTGCCAGGGTTTTCTTCCAAAGCACCTCTGGGTGAGCTCGAACCTCCAACATTTTGGCTAGCAGTTGAGCTCATTAATTGTTTGTACCACCCAAGGACTCCATCGTGGAGTTGGTGGGGATGGCTTTATCAGATGGAGACTTTTGAGCATGTTGAAACTCTAATGGTCAAGAGTCAGAAGAGACTGTAAAGTCAGGATAGAGGAAGAATAATCCAGGAAAGAGCTTCCCTGGGGTGAGGAGGGTAGAATGTTGAGCCCAGGTTGGGGGATTCGCCTTGACCAGGAGGAGAGAAAGGTCTCAGGTGGTAGCAGGAGGCGGGTAGGAAGGATGGGTTGGATGCAGGCTGTGTAGGTTTGAGGGTGGGAAGTTGAGGAATGTGAGGCCCTTTTCCCTGGCCCCTACCCCCAGATCCTTTCTTCACCCTTCTCCACCCTGCTTTCTGTCCTGGGGTGCTGACTCATAAGGACTTCCCTATGGCTTCTACCAGTGGGGGGTTGCCATCAGGGAACTGGAGGATTGGAGGAGAACAAGACTGACAGGTTTCTTCCTCCTGGTGCCTCCAGTGGATCTCTGTCTACTGAAGGCCACAGCTCCTGCAGGGAGCCCTCTCCATCCAGCTGTCCTCTCTGCCTTCTGGCAGCCGTCCCTCCTTACCTCTTCAGGCTCAAGGGCCATAGGGCTCCCTGTTGTTGCTAGTCCTGGGGTACTGCAACATCCCTTGTTGGTTTTGCAAAACTTGTTAATTGTTCCTTTACTAGACTCTCTCACACTGCCCAGTTGGAAGGTGCCATTTCTTTCCACCAAGACCCTGACTGGTACAAAGGTGTTCCCTTCCTTTCTCTCTGAAGATGCAAGTACAGTCCTCTGCTGAGAATAAGAAGGTGGAAAGGTTTGGGGAGAAGAGTGACAGCTTGAGACACCTCTGTGGAGAATGGCAGCAGACTTATCAACAGGGTTGACCTCAGCCGAGGCTGGAGACCCTGACATTGAAGGCACCACCAGCATGCTTGCCTGATGTCCTAGGGACTCGTGGAGAGGCGAGTTCAAATATGCTTGCGGTTTTCGCCAGGCAGGTGCAACCAAGAACAGTGGGACAAAGGGCTGTCAGACTTTGTTCAAAGTGATTGCCCAGGAGGAGGGCAAGAAGTGAGAACAGGCGGCATGACAGGGGCCGGTGAGAGAATAGAAGGGTTGTGGTCAGGAGGGCCCCATAAGGTCAGAGCACTGATGCAGAAATGAACGAGTGGGCGGGAAGTGCTTGTGGGCTGGGAGGAAAGGACATCTGAATTTGTGATTTGAGAGAAGGCATAAGTCTGGGCTATGATAAGCCCTGAGAGTGGGCTGTTTTGATGAGGAGAGCCAGGAATGGGAGGCTGGGGGTCTGGGAAGGGTTTTCTACGTGGACCCCAAGGTCTTGGGGAACAGGAAGACTAAGCTGGTTACCAGTCTTTGGCAAATGAGGAGGCGTGACCAGGACATGCAGCCATACACTGCACACGTGCACAGCCGCCTGCCCACACACACCCACACAGTCACACGCACATACACACGCCCCCAGCCCTCACAGACACTCCCAGACACCCTCACATGCATTCACCCTCACACACACCCCAGACAGCAGATGGGGCGCTCGGGTAATTGGTTAAACCTGTTCCCGATGTCTGGCTCCACATTGGCAGCGCCTGTCTGACAGGAAAGCTGGCTGGGCCTGCACCATCAGCCTGCTAGCCTCCCCTCCCTTCCCCCTCCATGGCTGCCCTGGAACAGGGACTCAGGAGAGGACCGTGAGCCCCAGCCTGGCTCTCATGGGCTGAGCTCAGTCCACTCCATGAAGACTCCTCGAAGGCCCATGGGAAGCGATCACAGCACTGGCGAGGAGGAGTTGGTGCAAATCTATGCAGAGATGCTAAAAGCATGAGCCATGACACTGTGAAGGCCGTAGGGACTAATTCTGGGAAGTCCTATGGACAAGAGGATGTGCAAAGATCATTTCCTGAAGGCGAGACATGTGGCCTAGGCCAAGAGAGTTAACAGCTCCGCTGCACTCCCTCCGTAAGTCGCTGCGACTTGGAGTTCTCACAGGTGCTCTTACCTACCCCATGCCATGGTTCTGCAGGCTTCCCAGGGAGGCCAGCTCAGCTGAGAGGAAATGTCTGACCCAGGGCCCCTCAATGAAGGCCTGGCCGAGCATCTCCCTGCACGCCTGAGGACACCAGCAGGCCAGCGTCCACACCCATCCTCACCCGCTGCGGGGGCCCTGATCTCCAGGTGGGGGAGGGAGGGAGCAGCATTCCTTGTCTTCTTCTCCCCTTCTCAGCTGCATCTGTGTCTCTTCGAGAGAGACTTTGGTTTGTTCCCTGGATAGGGCCCAGAAACTCCCAAATTAGCAAACCTGGCAAGCCCACAGCTCAGAAAATAGTTCATCCTGATTCCATGTTTTTCAGGCTCACAGAAGCCTTTATTAATGAAGTCACAACACCAATATTTACCGTCTGCAGGGAGAGGCACAACATGGGGGACGGATGGGAATGCTGCGGGGACTCCCCGCCCCACCCCCTCACAGGCCTGGCCTAGGGAGAGTGACAGGTTTGCTTGGGTCCTTTCCAGCCGTTTATTTGGATGACGGGTGCTCTGCTGTGATCTGCCTGTCCTCCCTCCCCCAACCAAGTGAGGTAGAATCTTGAGGGAACAGCTCACCATTCCTCTGCCCCCTACGGGGGCCAAAAGGAGTACTTCTCACCTTCACCCCACCTGTACTTACATGCTCCGACCTGCTTGGCAGTGAGAGTCTACCATGTGGTTGAACTTGGACTTACGCAGGTTCAGGCTTTCAAGATGTGATGGACAAATTTTCCTAGTTAATGAGGTGGTTGATGAGGGGGATGGACATCAGGATGAGACCAAGACCTTTGGTTTCTAGCATTGGCTGGTCATAAGCGAGGTGGGCAGAGAGTGGGGAGAGACACTGATGGTCGCAGCAGGACCCAAGTCTGTGTTCCTAGCAGAAGGACCTCCTGTGCTTGAATTCCTGTGTGTGCCCAGGCAGTAGGGCTGGGCCTCTGACACCTTTCCAGTGAATTCAACATTTATCAAGCACCCATGGTGTGCTCACCGGCACTCCAGGCAGGAAGAACAGCATATACAAAGGCACAGCAAAGGAAACCCACGGTTCTGTCAGGGACGGCAGACATGGGTAAGCCTGATGTGGAGGGCACCAGGAACGAGGTAGGAGAGGCCAAGGGTGGACTAGAAGTGGGAGCAAAGTGGGGGAGTTAGAAAAGGAATGACGTGGTCCTATTTGGGCTCAAAGAAGAGAAGGCTAGCCTCAGCATGGAGGTTCTCCTTTGAAAGGGGTCTCATCCTCATCCTCGTTACGCCCACTGCTCACCCAAGGAGCAGACCTGGGCAGGTGGCAGGGAAAGCTGAGGTGTGCTGCGCTAAAGTGGTATGGTTGGGAAGCTAGTCTAGACTCAAGATGGTAGATGCCAATGGAAGGAGGGGCAGAATAAGGAGGAGTCCAAGGTTTCTTATGGCTTGGGAAGCAGTGTACATGGCTAATGCCATTTGCCAAGATGGCTGATCCTGGAGGAGACCAGGTGGGGAGATGAATCCAGCTGTGGATAGGTTGGGTTTGAGGTGCTGAGGGACGTGGAGGTCAGTAGGCAGCTGGCTCAGTGGGTCTGGTTCAGCAGAGGTCGGCTGGAGGTGTGGACCTAGGAGCCAAGGGCAAGTTCTGGAAGTGGGTGCAAACCCCCCAGGCAGAGGTCACAGTAAGGAGGCAGGAGGACCAAGGACCAACCTTGGGGTGGACAGAGGCAGAGGAGGCAGGGAAGAGACTGGGGAGAACTCAGAGGGGCAGGAGGAGGAGGTGTCACAGGTACCAACATGAAGGCAGAGGGGTGGGAGTTGTGGGAATGGCTCCCGTGCCAATCCTGCTCAGCAAGGAGCAGGTGGCCCCAGATGGGAGGCAGCTGGGCTTGGCCACAAGGGAGTGATGGTGACTGTGGTTGGTGAGTGTCATCAGCATCAGCAGAGTAGTGGGCAGAGGCCAAGGAGCAGAAGGTAGGGAGCATATGGGAGGTGAAGAAGTGGAGACAAGTCTGGACATCTTAAGGGAAAGGCTATTAGGAATACAGTGTTTGCTTTTTCAGGAGGGAGACCTTAAATGGTGCCAAGTAGGAAAGACAAGTGGACAAACTGAAGGGCAGCAGGTGAGCTAAAGAGCTCAGTGGGCCCTGCCTTGTAGCTCTTTTCTGGGTGGGAGAGTCCTGAGTCCCTGAGGACAGGTTGCAGGCTCAGCCTCAAGCCATGTCTCTGAAGCTTTAACCAGAGGGCTCTCCGAGGACAGGTGAGCATCCTGGTGGGGCTAGAATTTGGTGCTGGGACTGTCAGCCTCTGTGAATGGCTCCCCCTCTATCCAGCCCCCCAGGCTCCCCCTTTTCCTCTGGTTCCTCCTCCACTGGAGAAGCTACCAGAAGGTGAGAGTCCAGAGTCTCCACTTCCACAAGCATGGGGGAGCTCCCTCTCTCTCTCCTCTCTGACCCACCTGGGCCATTAATAAGTTTGGAAAGACCCAAACCCAGCCTTGCTCAAGATACAAGGAGGTCCTTCCCTATGTCTAGCCTCAGTTTTTTCTGCTGTGGAGCTGGGGCTAGAGACCAGTGTTGACCACCAACGAAAGAAAGGACTTATAATGAATTGAATCTCCAGTGTCCAGCCTAGACTCCCAAGCCCTGAGCCAGCTTGCTCAGCCACCCTTCACTGGCCTCCAAGTCCACCACCCCAGGCTCCTAGGCTCTAAGATTGGAGCTGGATGCCCAAGTCATGGAGAGAGAGACTTTATTATTCCCATAGGGAAGGGAGACACAAATGGATCACTAAGAACTACAGTGAGCGCCTGGAAAATAAATTAAAACCGAAATGCATCAAAACAAAAAGGAGGTAAGAGAGAGGAAATGGAGAGCAGCTGGGAAGCTGCGGTGGTGGGCGGTAGACCCAGGCAGGAAGGCTCTCCGAGGAGATGGCCGAGTGGCCCCAGGCCTCAGCCAGCCCATGTCTTGTCCCTCTGTCAATGATGGCCCCAGGCTCCAAGCCCTGTGGGGCTGTGACTCAAGGCCTCCCTGTAGCCCGGCAGGGGAGTAACCAGAGTCCAGCTGCCCCCGCTGCCAGGGGGCCTGGCCATCAGCAAACAGCAGTCTGCATTCGTGGGTTCATGGCTGCCTGCCCTTAGTCATTGGAGGTGACATCGATGTCCTCCCCGTTGGCCTGCTTCGTGGCGATGCGCCACCGGTTGATGTGGTGGGAGCCCTTCTTCTTCTGCTCAGACTCGGGACCCTCCTCCTCCAGCTTCTGCCGCTTGTACTTTGTCCTCCGGTTCTGGAACCATACCTTCACCTGGGCCGGGGAGGGAAGGGGCACAGGTGAGAAACACCCAGGAGGCCCTCGGAGCAGCCACTGGGCCTCAGCACTCAGGTGGAGCTGGGAGCCACGCACGGCCAGTCCTCTCCTCTGGCAAGCTGCCACCTGATGGGCCTGGGAACGGCTCTTCCAGGTGCAACCTGGGGCCAGAGAGAGGGGCGGTTCTCCTGTCCCTCTCAAGTAGAGGTAAGGGAGGGAGTCCTGGAAGGAGGGATCCTTCCTCAGACCAGCATCCTGCTTCCTGAGCTGGGGAAAAGCATAGGGGGGTGAGGGGGCTCAGGCCTTGGAGCTGGCAGACCTGGGTCCCCACTGCTTTCTAGGAGGGAGATAATAATTGCTCCTTCACAGTGTTGACATGAACAGTAAATGAAGGAATATATGAAAAGCCATTGGCATGGGTCCTTACAGGTTCCCGAGGGTCCTGTGGTCCCCATGCCCTGGGCTGGCCTGTGCGTCTCCAGGGTGTCAGTGCCAGCCACCTGCTGCACAAAGAGGCAGTGTGGACATGGCTACATAAATAGGAGGTAGTGTCCGTGCCCAGAGCAGTGCCCAGGTCAGCTCCTGGGGCACAGACCCCACCAGGAAGTCTAACCTCCCATGCTATCTCAGTCATTGGCTTCACCGGGGGGCCCTTAGTGGGAACTCCGTCTCCCCCACATCAGAAGTGGAGCTGGGCGGTGGGGTGCCTCAAAGCCTCCTGGATGCCAGCTCCTCAGGATAGTGTGAAATCCAGAACAGAGACTTCACCCTCCTTGGACAGAGGAGGACGAAGAGGGAACATGCCAGAACCACCCCCTGGCAAGCGCTCTGCCCTCCAGGGCAGCTCTGGACCTCCTGCCCCCACAGCCCTGGCCTCTGCGGCCCACCCAGCTGTAGAAGATATACCAGCGACAGAATTGAGCTCGTCTTTAAGCACAGTGAGGGAGGGCCCTTCCCTCTGTGTCAGGCAGTGAGAGCCCCGATGGGAGGAAGTTCAAACAGAGACTGGACAACCATCCTCCATGGGATGGGGAGAAGGCATAGAGGAAGGAAGAAGGGGGGCAGATCTGTTATTCTAAGCCCACCTCCTACAGGAAGTCTCCCCAGACTTAGTCCCATGTCGAATCACTTCTCTCTCTCTTCTCCCTCCTCTTCCAGCATTTGCTCAATGTCTGGAACACAGCCCTTAAGATCCTCTTGTGCATAAGCTGAGAGGGTGGTCCTGGCTCCCTAACTAGTCTTAGTGTTTGCTGATTGTGGAGAAAGCCTTCGTCTGTCCGCTCCACATGACTACACAGTTCTTTACAGAGACAGGCCAGACTATCATCCTCAGAGTTGGGAGGAGGAGCCTGGGTACTGACCCCTGGGTAAGTCTCTTCCCCTCTCTGGGCCCATAGGAGAGATGCTTTCTGGGGCCCTTGCAACCCTGGGGCACCTCCTGTACTCTTGCTCCAGAGGGTCACTGAGGGAGGTGATACAGTGAGGGCAGGTATGAGCTGTGAGTGGTGTCCTGGAGCTGAGGAAGAAGGTTCTGCCAAGTGCAGCTGAGTGATCAATGGTGACTGTGCACGTGGCAAGTGGTGAGTGTGGAATGGTGGTGAGGACCTCAGCTTTGGCAGCAACAGGGACTGCTAAGGGGAAGTCTTTGAACCCTGGGAAGGGCTGAGGGCAGTGCTTCTCAGAAAGACTACCCCGTCCAGGCCCCACTTCCTAAGAAGGGTGAAAAGCACAGAACTTAGCCACAAAGCCAGGCAGCGGCAGCCACAAGCAGGCCTCACCTCTGGGCCCAGGGAGCACCTTCATGCCCAGGACACCCTATCCTCATATCTCTCCTTCCCAGACATTCCTCGCTGTCCCCTCCACAAAGCCCACCCAACCCAGGGCTTCCCCTCCCCAAGTTGCCACTGCAGCACCTACCTGCCCCTGGTTCCAGAGCACTAGGATGGAGCTGGGACAGCCAGTGTTCAGTGCTACACAGAGCAGCCAGCCAGGGACAGAGAGGCCTAGCCCCAAAAGAGGGGGTGCCTGGCCTTGATGGACCATATGAGGAAAGGAGACTTCTTCCCTCATTTCCAGTGCAGGGTTCAAACCCATAGCCTGCATGCCTCACCTCAGGTAGGCAGGGGAGGATGGCAGATGCTCTCGGTGCAGGGTTTCCGGATCCCATGCCCACCTTTGCTTGTCTCGGGGCTGGCAGGGCGCTGGCTGGGCGCTGGGTGGTTCTCGGTGCAACCATTTGGCAGCCAGGCTGGCCCCTGCCCCCCGCCCTGGAGCCCACTGTGGCTGTACCAGCCAGTAGGCGGGTGAGCTCACCCTGCCTCCTGTGCAAGGCATGTGCATGACTCAGGGCTGGATGCAGGGCTGGGGCGTCATTCTTGGGAAGCGCAAGCTGGCGGGCTCCGGGCTGGGCTTGGCCGACCTGGCATTGGGGGTGATCCAGGGCAGCCCTGGGCAGCACCAGGGACAGAGGACCTTTTCCTGCACCTTTCTCCCTCCGCCTATACTCCTAAGCCTCCTTCCAGAATCTGACAATCACACCAACCTCTAGTGGGTTGGAGCCCAGCATGCTACCCTTTCCCAGCAACATTGCCCGAAGAAGAAAAGCTTCAGTGGTGGAATTTCAGGCACAGGATATGTTTTCAGACCAGGGGAGCTTCCTGGCCTACCCAAGTGAAAGGTGATTCTGAATACTTTCTCCATGAAAACTCCTGGGGTCAAGGAGGCATTTTCTAGAAACAGAGTATGCAATCCCTGCGGACATAAACTCTCTCCCTAGACAGCCTGGCTATCTTCCGGAGAACAGCCTTGGGCTTGAGTGTCCAGATGCTGTTTACAAAGACTATATAATAACAGGGGGGTGCTTATGACTTAATAACATCAGTGGAAAAGGCAGGAGGCACAGTGTTGGCACAGTGCAATCACAACCATGGAAAAACAAAATCTATGCTTCAGGGAAAAAAGACTGGAAGGAAATGTACCAAAAGTATGGGTGATTTTTCTTTCTTCTTTCTACTTTTCTGGATGTTCTTTAATGCATTACTTATGACAATAGTAATTTTTTCCTTGAAAAGAGAAAAGGAACTGGTCCACACATGGTTTGGCCCCAGCTCTGCAGAAGTCAGCCTTAGGAGGCTGTGCTTATTCTGCCACACACACCCACCCACTACTCATCTCTCCCCCAAAAGGCACAGTTGGGATGTCGGCTGGAGGACCCCTCTCACCTATCTCTGACCCCTCTGGGTTTGAGGAGAGTTTCCTTGTGGTCTCCCAAGTCCCCATTTCAGTGAGTTTCTAAGATAAACCAGATCCTTCTAAGACTCTCTGCTTTTGTCTGAGTTACCCAACCTGGAAAACTCTTACTTAGGCTTCAAAACCCTGTTCAGATGTTCCCACGGCCTGGCCTAGAAAATAACCAAAATAACCACTCCTTCTGGTTGCCTCTGAATAGGGCCTGTGGGTGGACTCTTGCCCAACAGAGTAGCCAAAGTCAGGGCTGGGCAGAAGGGGCAGCTGGAAACTAACAGATTGATCAGCCTAGAGCAACCAAATGCCCCCCGCCACCCCCCCCACACACACACATAGATAGAAGCAAGCACATATGCAAGGGTCATTACCATTAGGTCACCTGAACCTGCACTCCATGTCATGTGACTGCCTTCTAGCACCTAATGTGTATATATGACATCATCTAACCCATGACCCAATATGTGCCCCACATTGTGGGCACACACACATCACACACACTCCCCACACTCAAGGCTGTGATCTGACTCAGGCCTGGGTCTGCCCACCCAGCCACCAGGACTGAGGCTTGGATAGGCATTTTTCTGGTCAGATTCCAGGGCTGCACCAAAGCAGTGAGGAACAAGTAATTAACGCCAGAAGGGAGAACTAGCTTTTGCCCAGGGCCCCTCTCTCCACCTCCCAGATTGACCCACTGGCCATCCCAGCACAAACTCCCCACTCTCCACCAAACACACAGCCCAACCCCAACAAAGAAGTTCAAGTTGCCCACCTCCCAACACCCCTGCTGAAGCTTCGGCATATAGAGAGACCTCTGAGCTCTGGGCTAAAACCCACACACTGATCTGCTTAACCCTCCCGGAAGTTTTATCCATGAACTTCTGTTTGCATTATCTAGATCAACAACCAGCTGTGAAAGTGCAAGAGAAAGATGGAAGGAGAGGGATAGGGAGAGAGCAGTGACAGCAGAGAGCAAGGAGGAATGACTGATAATATATGGATATATGTGGAATCAAGAGAAATTTTCTCATTCATTCAATGCATGTTTACTGAGCATCTACTTGGTGGCACTCAGCTGGGTCCTGGGGTATAGCAAGAAACAGAAGGGCTAGGCCTCTGCTTCCCAGAGTTAAGACAACCAGACCTGTTGTTCATCAGAATCACCCAGAGAGTTGTTTTAAAAATAACTTTCCTGGGCCCCATCCTGGACCTCCTAAGAGAATCTCCTGGGTGGGGCCCAGGAAACTCTATTTTAAGATCTCTGTGGGAGCTGGTCTGCAGATCTGGGAAGCTGGTCCTGTGGGCAAGGCTGATAATTAAACAAGTAATAATAGCAAAGGCCCGTGCATGTTATGATAGGTGAGAGATATACTGTGAGCTCTGAGCACAGGGAGGAGGGATTATAGAGAAACAGAGAAGTAAACTATAGATGAGCCACAGAAATTCAGGGGTGGAAAGAACCCTGGAGTTCATTTCATTTACTATCACACAGATATGGCAACTGAGGCCCAGGGAGACGGCAAAGCCAGAGCCAATGAGATGATAATCATTAACAGACAGATGAATATATTCTCTGTCAGTTACTAAACAGATCTATAGAGATGAAAGTCTGAGATGAACAGTAGGTGCACAGAAGAAAATACAATATAAATGGTAAAGAGATAATCAGCTGATGGGTAAATGGAAGTTATTGTTCAGAAGAACATAATTAATGGAAAATATAAATTAGCCAGCCTTAGGGAGGTGGTTTAATGAGAGCAGACAGAAGTAGACGGCTAGATACAAAACAGCTATCTGTGGGGGACAGATTAGAGAACTCTGAGAGACAACTATAGATATTGACATAGAAATACATGGCAGGGGGTTGATGGGAGTGAGTGATTCTTGACAAATAGATGATAGCTGGAAATGACAGGTAAGCTTGTAAATACTGAGCGATGGATAGATAATTAGTTAATGATATAGCCTAGGTCCAGATAATAATTTACAAGGTGAATACAAAGCTCTGATGATGGTGACAGTGTGGCAGAAAGAACACTGGAAGGTCAGGAAGCCCAAGTTTGGATCTGATTATGACACTAACTTGGCAGGTTATTTTAAACGAGGGGAGAGGAAGGGGCTAACTTGGCATATTACTTTAAATAAGGGGAGAGGAAGATGGGAATTAATATTCTTTGAGTTCCTATTAAACCAGTTGCTGTTGATTCCAACTCATGGCAACCCCCTGGGTATCAGAGTAGAACTATGCCCCATAGGGTTTTCAGTGGCTGATTTTTTGAAAGTAGATTGCCAGGCCTTTCTTCAAAGGAGCCTCTGGGTTAGACTTGAACCTCCAATCTTTTGGTTTTCAGCTGAGCACATTAACTGTTTGCATCACCCAGGGACTCCTGAGCTCATATTAGGTGCCTTTAATCCTCAAACAACCCATTTTCTGGATGAGGAAACTGAAGCTCAGGTTGAGTAACCCTCCCAGAGTCACAGTTAGCAGGGAAGCAGGCATTTGAAATCACATTTGCCTGACTGGGGAGCTCTGCCCAGTTGTCTTCTCATCTCAGGGCCCATCACCTGCAAAGACAACCCCCACCTCCCACAAGGAGGTTTCTAAGGATCAAACCTCCCCCAGTTCTATTTTTGTTGTTGTTGTTATTCCATATGCAAAAAGCAGCCCATTTATAGATGGAATAAGATAGACCATGGATTTTGATAACTAGTTAAGCTGGATACAGTATATTAATCTATCTGGTTTTTTAAAATATATGTTTGAAACATCTCAATAAAAATGAAACTAGTTCATTTACTAACTGGCATTAATAGCAGCAAATATTGACAGGCAGCTAGATTCAGTTTGAAAGGAGGTTAATTAAAAATGCTCTTACTGAGCTAAAAAACGGAAAGTTTAAAAACAATGACATAATTTCAACAAGTGTTATCTGTGGGTGGTGGGATTATAAGCCGTTTTTGTTTTCTTACACTTCTACAATTAAAACTTAATAAATATTACTTTTTAAAGGAAGTTAATTATGAACGCCATTCTTAAATTGACACCTTGTTTTAAACAATAATTTGAAAACACGTTGGTGGGAGGGGAAAGGGGGTGTTATTTATTAACTTATTTTTTAAAATAGCTTTCCCTAAAATGTTTTTAAAATTAATTCCATTGTTTGTAAGCTTCTTCTCTGCAGTTAGAATAGCCCAGCTAGGATATCTGAAAACGCACCCCTGCACAGAAGTCGGGAGCGATTCTTTGGCTGTTCAGTGAGGCATTGGACAGATACGATGCCGACAATAGATGCCCAAATGCAGTTAGAGGATGAGAGGGCTGGGCGGCCACAGGAAGCTGGGGGTGCCAGGAGGGTCCAGGCTCCTCAGCTAGGCCCCCTTCCTAACCTTGCCTCCCCACCCCCTAATGGACAGGACCTGAGAGCTGCTTGCTATCGGGAGAGGCGCGGCAGCCCGGGTGTCTTCTCACCCTCCCGGACTAGGGTGGGGTGAGGACAGTAGGGGCCAGGCGAGGCGGAAAAGGGAGCTGACAATGAAATGCTGGCGAGGCAGGAGCTGCTTAGCCGCATGCCAGCCTCTCTCACTCCAAAGTCTGGGAGCTGGCAGGCACAGCAGAGAGGAAGGTCTCCCAAGGCCCAGCCAGACACTGAAGTCCTCCTCCGGACAGCAGCCACAGGAGGGTCTTTCAGTCCCTCCAGCACTTCGAATGGACACCGACCAAGAGCTTAGGTGGTGCTTCCGGGCAGCATTTATTATGGCAAAGCCTTTACTTACAACGGACCCAAATCTGCCTCCCTATAACTCCCTTCTAGTTATTTTATTTGACAATGTTTAACTATACCAATTACAAAAATACTACATGGTAACTGTAATTTACCCAGCTCAAACCTCTCCAACAGGGTAGGAGTCTATTCCCTCCTCCACTCGACAGCCCTTCAAGCGATTGAAAGCAGCCCCTGAGTACCCCGAGTCTACTTTTCCACCATTCCAGGCCTCTCAGATGCTCCAGTATGTACATCCACCATGGCTTCCAGACCCGCTGCCAGCCGGCCTGTGAAGGCATCAGTGCTAGCTCGGACCCCAAGCAGGTGCTGGCCCCTCTCTGGCTGAGGCACCTCTGTTTCTCATGTTTATTATGGCCTGAGGACACAGGCCTTCTCCTCATACCGCATCTGCTGTGGGCAGCTGTGCCCACAAACTGCTGGGAAGTCAGTACAGGAGGGCCTGGTCATCTCACAAAATCGTTAGCGCTCCACAACAGTATCAGGAGAAGGGCTGCGGGAAGCAGAGGGCTGAGACCGGCTCCAGTGTCCATTGGCGCTGCCCGGGAGTGACTGGGGCATGGGGGCTCCCAGCCCCCTGATAACCTGGCACCTCCTTATGGGCTTTAGGAGCAGGACTCGGTATAAGATTTGCATTTTCTCTGCCTCCTGCTGGGTCCTTAGTGCTCCATACAAGTCCTGCAGTCTGAGCGTGGCTGAACAGTCAGAGGGACGGAGTGCTAAAGACAGGCCTAGCGGGAACACCATGAGGGTGGCCTTCGCAATTGAGCGGGAGAGAACTTGAGGGAGGCTGGGAAGCTCAGGGCCGCTCCTGTACCCGCCAGCCCCCGTGGCTACTTGGGCGCAAGGCAGGGCGCAGAGCATGGCGCCCGTGGGCGTGGAGGGGGTTATTACCTGAGTCTCGGAGAGGCTGAGGCTGCCGGCCAACTGCTTGCGCTCAGCGCCCACCACGTAGTGGTTCTTCTCGAAGGCGCGCTCCAGCCGCAGCAGCTGTGAGGGCGAGAAGGCTGTGCGGATCCTCTTGGGTTTGCGCGCAAAGGGGCCGTGCAGAAGCAGCCCGTCCTGGGGCACGTCGCTCGCTGCAGCCGCGAAGGCAACACACGCAGGTACAGACAGAGAGAAGGGGCGCCGTGAGCCAAGCCGGCCCCCTCGCGGGGCTCCCACATGCCCTTGAGGCTCCACTCCCCTCTCCAATCCTCGACGCCCCCACTCCTCCCTTTTCCCCTTTGTCGCGTTTCTCTAAGCCAGCTCCCCTCCCATATTCTTCCCCACAGTCCGGGAGCTGCCCCACCCGGGTTCTCCGGAATCGCCTCTCAGCAAACCAAGCGGCAGGTCCGGGCCTAGTGAGGCGCTGGCCAGCCCAAGATGTGGAAAATTCCCTTCGCTCTTTTTCCCCTACCCTTTCCCAGCGACGCTGCCCTCGTCCCTGGGCCCCAGAATGATTTGCTTTCCACTATACGTTTCCCTCAAAGTGACCAAGAGGCAGGACAGGGTATCAGGAAGGCAATAAGGAGAGCATCAATGCTGCAAGACATCTCCATGCCAAACAGATTCAGGAACTAGACCATACCCAAGGAGCTTTCTCTTCACCCGTGCTTAAATCAGCCTTGCAGCTAAACGCTCAGGCTACTAACTCGTTGAAAACTCCTGCCAGCAGGCACGAGCTCTCTCTTGTAAGTGGAAAAGGGCTAGGTCAATGTCCAGGCAGCACCTGGAGGTCTAAGGTCAGCCCCTTTCTTCCACTTTCCCCATCTCTCTCTCCCCAGGCCTTTAGGTGGCCTAGAGGTCCAGCCTCTAGAGTAAAACCCTTCCCCACAGGAGACTTACCGCTTTCTGGTAGGAAAAGGCCCTGCTTCATCCCTGAATAGCCCAGTGCTGAAGAAACCCATGTATAAATATCTAGATGTCATCTTTCTCTCTAATATAGATAGATATATTGGTTTCTGCATGGGCGTGTGTAAATATATGCTCCAGCCTCCCTACTGTCTTGTTCTCCCATTTACTGTACTGGATTTTCAAAGGGTGTGACTGTCCCTTGGCAAATGCTGGCCAGCATGGGGACTCAGCTCCCACATACAGGAGAAGGAGCTGACACTGGACTGGATGAGGCTAGGGTGGAGGTGGGGGATCAGGAACTACAGAGGCTAAAACAAGCTTCTACCCACAGCCCCAGCCTCAAAAAGCCTCTACTGGGCCCTCACATAGTCCCTAGTGCAATAACACATGCTAACAGACTCTAAACAGTCCCTGACAACATCACCCAGGGAACTCCATGCACATAAAAGCCCCCAGACCCAACAACAACACACAGCCCTAGATGGAATGTTACAGAATGTTTTGACAGAGTTAGCTGTTGAGACTGACTGAGCCAATTAATTTATTCAGAGAGATGGCCACTGATTTGACTCAATGGCCACTGGTTTGACTCAGATTGACCTGTTGTTTTGCTCTTGAGACAATTATCTGGATAATTCAATTGACATCTCCCATCTCTGGAAATATTTATGTAAGTGAAGGAAAGGCACCTAATTGAGATAAACTCTCCAGGTAATTTTTCACATCTCCCTGCTGTGGAAACCACTGGACCCTACTTTCTCCAAATCCTGGGCTTTGGACACATAGACAGACTGGGGTTTTCTGTGGAACAGGGCTTCCCAAGGATGAGGGGCTAGTATCTTGGGGGAATCAAGGCCCCCAACAAGAAGTCACTGACCTCCAGTTGCCTTATCCATCTCAGCTGGATCTGTCCTGTTACAAAAAGGGGCGGGATCACACCACAGGGAGATGGAGGGGGGACACCCAGCCCACTAGGCCCTTCAAGGTAGCAGCAGGACCAAGACTCTCAGACCTGACTTAAGGAAGAGAAGTTTAACTTGGGATGGCAGAAGGGACAGATGGTCAGGGGAGGTGGTCTGGCAGAGAGGCTAAAAGGGAGAGAAAGGAGGAGCCTGCTCTAGGTAGAAATTAGGGGGATTAAAGTCTGTGGGGTGTGGGCCAGTATGGAAGGCCATGGAAAGGAGGGGGTAGGTGGCAAGCAAACACTTCTTTTAGATGTTAAAATGAATTGCTTCAAAAAACAACATCATTCTGAGCCCCACTGAAGTCCCAGCAGTGGTTTCTTCTGAACAGCTGAGCCAGAAAGGGAGAAAGAAAGCCTAGCTCAGCCCAGCATTCCCAATCCTCAGCTGCTGGCTGCTCCAGGATGGTCATAAGTGAGGTGGCAGTGAAGAGAGGGCCCATAGGTGGAAGTGAGTGAGATGCAGAGGCTTGAAGGGTGACAAGGGGCCGAGAAAGCCCCAGTGTATGTGACTAGATGGCTGTTTTGTGAGTCTAGTGTGTCAGTCACTTGTGTGCTGGAGTTCTCTGTTTGTCTTTCTAAACCCAAAGTGGAGGATGCAAGCAACAACCTAGGTTGCTCTGGGTCTGCCTCACTGAGAAAATGGCCCCAGTTCATTTCTACCTGTACTGTCCTGTCATGGGTGGATGGCATGTGTCCTGCAGACTGTGTACATATACATAGGTACAGAAACATAGGGGTCCTTCCAACTCCACCACAAAGAAACAGGATGTTGGAAAATTATTCAAGGTGCTGATAAGCCAATAACAGGTTATTCGATTTTTAAAGAAGCAGGCTTTTCCCTGTAAGAAACTGACCAACTGTTCCATGTTTCTGTAAGGCCGAGGCCGGTGCCTTAGGCCCGTAGGTACCTGGGTCCAGTTCACTCTGACCTGTGGGGAGAAAGCCTCAACCATACCAATCACGGTCTCAGTTTCCCTCGACTGAACTACAAGGACAGAGCAAGCTAAGGGCTGGAGTGCGGCCCGGTTTGGATGCCGTAATTCCAGAGTGCGGAACGGCTGTCAGTTTGGGCAAGGACAGGTGGAAAGGGGCCGGCACAGCCTTCCCTGGAACTGGAAACTGAACACCCACCCCCGTTTTCCTACAGCCTCTCTCTGCGGGTCCTTTCAAGGCAGTGATTGGAACTAGCAATAGAAACTCAGCAATGAGGTGGCTAGAGGTGGGAGCTGGGAATCCGAAGAGCCTGGGGCTCGAGCTGCAGTCTCTGCTGAAGAGGTCGTGGCTGACTTGGGGATCGGAGCGGATGGTAGGGTGGCAGAGCCTGGGGCTAGGAGAGGGGGAGGTCGGCCAGGCGGCGGAGATAACCTCATCTCCCTCCTGCTGCAGGAACAAAGGCGTCCTTTGAAGCACCGGCCCATTACTACCGCCGGTCCCGGAGGGCAGGGTCTCCCGCGGCCCCTCCCGGCGCTGCTTCTCAAGCCGGAAAGTCCAGATCTCTGGGAAATGACACCGAAATGTAGCCAACTCCCGATTTTCATCCCCTCCTCCCCTTCGGGGGTCGCCAGCCGGCTGGGCTTCGGAGTCTGCCGCCTGGTCCCGACCATCCCGCGCTCACTTTTCCTCATCCACCGCCTCGCTTCGCTGAGAAGCCGCTTCCCTGCGCGCCAGGACCGCGCCGCCCGAGAACGCTGCGCACAGAGCGTAGACATGTTCATTTTCGTTCCTGTAGGGTTTCGTTTCTTGCATTAAAACGGGCTGAAATGAGCATCGCAGAGCCCGGTTCTCTAGAAAACGCGGCGCCGGAGGACCCGGGACGGCTCGGCTCGCAGCACCAAGGCCCACTGAGACCGCAAGGCTCACGGCCGCCGGGGCGCGCATCTGTCGGCCAGGGCGATGATGGGCCGCGAAGCGAACGCGTCTCAGGGTTCGAGAAGTCCTTCAGTGCCCAGTGGATTTCCCGGTTCAAATATGCGGCCACACTTGGCTACATCTCCGCATCCAGACTCGATTCTCGAGAGAAAAATCCAACCGTTTGTGCAACTCGACAACGTGCCAGCAGGGACTGATGGCTCGGGCAGCGGCAGCAGTTTCTGAGAAGGTTTTACGCAGGATTTGTCCGATCTCGCTCGGCTGGGGATGCTCAGAGCCGGGGTGGATCTCTCACGAGGCGCCCTGAGCCCGCGCGGGCTAGGCCGAAGGCGGGAAAGGAGGCCCGGTGGACTTGGGGCGTGGGATCCGAAGCCTAGGGCACTGTCCCAGAGGCTGCCTCCGGACGAGACGAACCGCAGGAGGCCACAGGGCTTAGGACCCGCCCGGCCCTCTCCTCCGAGCCCCAGTTGCCCACTAGACCGATACCCGCCCGCCCCTCCGTAGCCCCGGCCCCGCGGTGACTCACAAACCGCGGTGACTCCACCCTGGCCCGCGGACGCCAAGTTTCCAGACCCAGGCCGGGGACTGAGTCCACGAAGGACCGGGGTGGTTTGCTCAGTTTTGAATAAAGCCCCAATTTCATCAATAAACACATTTTAATTGACAGAAACTCTCGTCCAAACCGGTTGACATCTTAGGCAATTTTTCGGATAATTTGGGCGAATCTTTGAAATGTCCAAGGGAGAAAAAAGTCTGCCCACAAAAATTCTTGTTCAGGTCACTACGTTCCTTGATTCTGTAGCATCTCTCTGGGTCGGTATATATTGACCAAGTGGGACTGAGGAAATTGTCAGACAAATCGGGACCCGCAAAAGCGGCTTTCTGTAAAATAGTCAAGCAGCTATAGCCAAAGCTTCAAAAGATCATTTTTCTCCTATTATCCTAGTAATTGTATCAAATACCCAATTTTCTTTAACTGTGTAGACCTGGCTACCATCACATTAGCCCCGAGAGCCAAAGCCCCGGCCACATCCTTTTCATTTGTTTTACTAAAAACTGGGTTGCCTAGCTTTGAGCAGCGGAACCTCACAAGGCTGAGATCCCGTCTACACTAACAAAACCGAAAATCAAAGCAGTTAATGCATAAATTAAGGCCAGCCTCTTTTTAAAAAAAAGAAAGAAAAGAAAAACAAACTCCAACAAATTCGAGGAAGAAAACGAACTCCAACAAATGCAACTCTCTTTCCTTCGGGAAAGTCAGATAATTGAAACCTGTGAGTGTGTGTGTGTGTGTGTGTGTGTGTGTGTGTGTGTGTGTGTGTGTGTGTAAAGCCAGTGGGGGATCTTCATTAGCAAGCCGATTGCCGGGTGCAGACAAGGGGGCCCCCCGGACTGGCTACGACCTTAAAAGCCCTCTGCTCCCGCCCCCTGACCGGGAGGACTATCGCCTGTCCTCCAGCAGCCGGGTGAAATCCCGGAGCGGGCGAGCCGCGGAGGAAGTCAGTTTGCCACTGCAAACCTTCCCCACCCTGAGTCCGGTAGGCACTTGTGACTTGAAGAAGTCGGGCCAAGGGTGTTGAGTAACATCCCAAGACAGCGGAACACTCCACAAGGAACTTTAACTCTCTGGTTCACCCTCCCTGCTGTCCCCGCTTCCCACAGACCCCGGGCACGCCGTGGACTTTCCCCTGCCCGGACGCGCCAACGAGGGCAGATCCCTGGGAGTTGGTGATGGACATGCGAGCGAAGTACGGTCCTGGGTCCAGCCGGGGCGGAGGGAGGGCGAGAGGCGCTTCACTCTCTGGGACTAGCTCAGCCGGGGGAGAGAACAAGGCAGGCCGCGAGGAGAGCCAGGGGAGGGGCCAAGGATGCGCCCAGGCTTGGCGTCGGGACGGACTTCGTTCCCGGGAAAGATCAGAGGTCCCAGCCCGGCTCTCGGGGAGGGAGACTAATGCGGCAGAGACGCGGGTAGATCCTGCGCGGCTCTGCTCGGCTTAGGAATCGGCCTCCGCGGAATCCGCAGCCTTCTCGGCAACAACTTTCTGAACAGCCCTGCGCGCCCCCGAGCCTCCCCCGCGCCACCGCAGCGCGGGCAACGGTCGGCCGCCTCGGCCGGCACAGCGCGGGCACTCACCCTGAAAGCGGTGGCCGAAGAAGCGGTTCCGCAGGACCCAGGGGTAGAAGTGGAGCGGGTCCCGGTGCTGGGCGCCGAAGAAGGAGTGTGGGGGCTGCAGCGGGGAGGCGCCCAGCTGGTGCGCCGGGTGCACGGTCAGCGCGGGGTGGCTCATGGCCTCGGGGAACACGAGCTCCGGCCCACCGTAGAGCGAGCGGCC